AGCAAACAGGTGTCTTGACTCTACATTATGACTGGGCCAAGGAATTAGGAAATCCCTCGGTGATATCTCAAGCATCATCGTTACTGCTGCCTCGTAGTAAGTACCTATAGGCATGCTATAACCGGAGTGATGCTCAACAACAGGGTCATACGTGGAGTAGTGGCTCGAACTAGTTGATGAGGGAGTGGTGGTACTACGCAGGCACCTATCCCGAAGGGGCATACACCGTCATCAAACTTCGCGCCTATGGTCAGTTTGACTAGGTCGTCCCGTAACGATCTGAGACCCAACTGGAGGAGACCAACCATGCTCTCATCGTATTACTTATAATCAGCTTCTTCTTCCAGTAGACGGAATACATCAGGGGAGAACACATCTCCTAGAGCGCCATCACCTAGTACCTGATAATCATCCCCACGATGAGTCTGTCATTCTCCTATTGCCACTCATACCCCTGTTCTATAATGTATTTCATCGAACTTGGAAGTAGAGCCAAATCCCCAGTGGAGTAGAGGCTCAGATAGTCTAACCGTTGCAGAGTCTAACCCAGCAGACCAATGCAGTAATTCGCCAGTCATAATGTTCTGTTGTTTGAGACTATCACTAAGCTGCCCCTTAGCATCCCCAGCACCTCCAGTACCCATCACGATGTTGGTTAGAATATCATCATTTGACATTGAATCAGCTAAGGCCGATACCTAAGACACCAATCCTGTTTCATGTGCTTGCTGCTCGTAGGAGGTCCCTGTTACAAAGATCCTGGTCATAAGATACTCTGATTTGGCCGCCTTCCTCCTGGACGTGTGATACTCCAGTATACTATCGTATATAGGCTGACATCATCTCTATCGTATTACTACGAATATGACTGCTACCTTGACAACACTAGGCTTTGCCAAGGAATCGCCTCTCAAGAGTAGGAAGTCTTGCTGAGCCAGTGGACACTGAGTTACTCCAGACCCAAATGCCCGGGAGTATTTCGCAAATCGAGGAGCCTAATTAGAGTACCTCTCATCCTGGGCCACCCTACCATCATGTCCTTTACATGTATCCG